CACCAATTTTCTGAGTAAATTAGACACTTTCATTTTTTAAAGTGTTATTGCTGGGGGCAGTGGTGCATGCCTGCAATACTAGCACTCTGGGAGGCCCAGGGTGGCAAATTCAACTCTATTCTACACAAATAAGTGAGATCGTGTTTCACAATATAAACTTAACAGTCTGGGATGCAATTCAGTGTGAAGGTCCTGACTTCAATCCCCAGTACCACAAATTTTATATATATGTGTGTGTGTATTTATGCTAACAAGTAAATATTTAAAATTTTCTCAGCTTTGTAGTAAGATAGATTACATAATAACCCACCTAAACAAAAGCTTCCCTATATAACATTCATAACCCAACTGAACCCATCACATAATTCCCCACAAAGATACCAAACTCAGAAACCACTTACTCCAGTTACCTATAGTCTCAAACACTCATAACTTATTCTCCTAAAATACTTACCAATTTCTTAGAAAGTTAAATATCCATTAGCAATTTTTCTTCTAGATATTAAATACAGGAGAAATGAAAACATTCTAGCTTTATATGTATTAAACCTGGAAAGCCAAATGTCAAAAGAATAATGAATAAACTAGCTGTGGCATATTTAGACAAACTAACGTTCATCAGAAATTTTAAGAAGTCAACTATGAAATCTCAGACATGATGAGTTAAAGGAGACATGGAATTGTATAACTGACAAACTGAATTTTCTTGAGAGGAATCAGATCAATGGTTATCTCTTTGCAAAAGGGACTTCCTGATATACACAGAGATACCTTCCTGACATACAGTGACATACTGTGCCATATGCAGTTTTGGGAGCTGGAGCTTTCTCCTGGGGAAAAACTGACAAAACTTTCCAGTCTCCCGTAAGATTAGGACCACCTACCACAGCCTAACTGAGGCTCCGCCCTTCCAGACCTGAGTGGTGCAAAAACCTGGGGTCTAGGCTCCAAATTCTCCCTACGGGCTTCTCATTGCAGAACACCATGACTCTTCTCAATCCACCCGGGCTTCTGGTTCCTTTTTTGGATTCCTTCTGCCTGGGGTAAGAGTTTCTTAGTGGCAGTTTCCAGAATTTCCTTTCTATGCCTCAATCCTTCGGAGTCTGCGTTTCCAGTACTCTTCCCCTTGGGATGCGGCGAAAGCGAGCCAGTCGCTTCTTCCGCCAGCCCGGTGTAGTTCTCCAGGGCCTTCTTCCGCCCTCACTACCTCAGACTTCCGGTTACTTGAAGGCCTGGCTTTCATCCTTCTCAACCTTATTTATCTTGAGTTGGACCTTATTCCTCGAGCAATCTGCGCCCCCAACAACTAGCAAGAGTCTCTGCTTGATGCAGGACGTTTGATTAGGATACCTGGACATTTTCGGAGGCGGACTACGTTTCCCACAACATTCGTGGCGCAAGGCCACGAATGACCTTCAAGATTTGGTTCCCCTTCCGGTGTTGTAATGTGCTGTGCTTGGTAAGTTAAGGTGATCCAGGTGAGGTTGTGTGAAGAACTCGCGGTAGAGCGCGTCCACGCTCTCGGGGCCCTGATGGGTGATGAGGAAATTTGTGCCTCATGCCTTTGCATGCGTGAGCTGCGGACAACGGGGGTTGTGACTGCATTGTTACAGAGTGTGTGTACGAGGGGTGGGAAAGGCTGAATGTGTCTTGACAGGTGTCAATTGGGCCTTTTAGGACTTTTGAGGAGGGGCAGAGCACTTGTGACCTGGGTATGCAGTACATTGACACGGTTTGACTCTGTGACCGATTGACCACCCACAGTGTAACCTCATTTCCCTAATTTGGTTTTGTATGTATCTCATGATATACAATATTTACATGCATATATATCCATATATAAAGCTTAAATTCCCCCTTTAAGAACATGTCTCTCCTTGTTTTTTTTTTTTATTTAAAGAAAAGGAAACGAAAGAATACATGGAGATAAAAAAGGGTAGAAATAATACAAACTTACAGAAAAACAAGCCCACTGGAGATCTTCATTGTCTATCTAATTGTCTCTAGTTTCTTACAAATAGTTGTCCCCATCTTCACCCACCTTATATACTTATTGTATATTATAGAACTAATCAAATCATTGGAGGCTTTTTAGGTCCTTATGTTCCAAATTAGGGAAGACAATAGTAACTACCATCGCATCTCTCATTCTCTTTGTGATAGCTGTCCCCATCTCTACATATGCTGAAATTGAACTCAAGAAACCAGTCCAATGTCATTCTAATCAGTGAACAATAATATTGCTAGAATTTCTATCATAATGCTACAAAATTAGCCTCGGGTTTCTTAGCGTCTCTTCCTCAGAGTTTCTGTTCATTACATCTTGCATTATATAATCTGTTCCCGTAAATAATTAAAAAGAAGAAAAAAAACCCATGTGTGAATTTCTACATATATATCTATCCTCTCTGTATTATAGGGAATACCAGGTCATAGCAAGACAGCAAAACAATTTCCTAGCAAAACATGCAATGGATAAGACATATAAGACCACAATATAGATGATCTTCCGTAGTTACTATGTTTTCTCTTGTTATTTTCAATAGATTTGACCACCCCACTAGCTTATTATAGTTAAATATAGTATCACCTATTTTTATAAAAACTTAACTTTGACAGCATTGTAGGATTTGAGAGGTGTTACTAATTAATACCAGTATGGATATCCTTTACATCTTGTCATCCTCAGAGTAGTTTCCTCTACTTTTAGGGTTGATACTAACAAGCATACCAATTTCAAATAAAATCAGCCATGGCCAACCCATAGTCTTATGATTCAGCTACTTTTAGGGTTGATACTAACAAGCATACCAATTTCAAATAAAATCAGCCATGGCCAACCCATAGTCTTATGATTCAGATTCAATTAAAATCAGTCACAGTAAGACAATGTAAGTATTGTAGGATTTCAGTTTAAGTTAATAGGAAAGTAAGGATAGTTACCATGGTATAACCTGCTATTTTTGGGTCAAATCTGACATGAGTGGACAGACCAGTATATATTAAATTCAAACTAAATTTGTCAATAAGACTACTATGTCTTTTAAATCCTTATACACCATTAACAATGACCTCTGCCTTTTTCTTTTTTTTTTTAAATAGAATTTCAGAGCTGTCTATACTAAAGACTATAGCTACTCCACTTTTCTGCTATAATTTGTCCACCTTATTCCCTCATTCCACTGTCTGCCCCGTTCACTGAGGCCTCTCTGCCACTGTTGCTGGAATCCTGGTATCTCTTCCTCTCTTTCTCTGTAATGTCCTACAGCACTCTCTGTAGGGTTGGATTGGTGGCCATGAACTCCCACAGTTCCTCCTTGTCTTGAAAATATCTTATTTCTCCATTAATTTTGGGAGAGAGTTTTGACGGGTATATGAGCTTCGGTTGCATATCATTTTCTTTCAGGACTTGGAATATTTCTCCCCACTCCCTTCTTGACTTAAGAGTTTGTGTTGATAAATCTGCTGTTATTTTGATAGTTTTCCTGTTGTAGGTAATCTTCATCTTTTCTTTGGCTGCTTTTAATATTCTGTTCGTTTGGTGGATTTCTGGAATCTTTATTATTATATGTCTAGGCGTATATCTGTTTTGGTTGTAGGTAGCTGGTGTTCTGTATGCCTCTTTTATCTGGATATCATTTCTTTTTGCTAAATATGGGAAATTTTGCTTTAATATATCTGTGAATATTCTTTGTATTTCATTATTGGTTGCTCCTGCTTCCTCACTCACATTCTTTATTCTTAAGTTATGTATCTTTTTGTCATCCTCTAGTTTTTGAATTGCTTCTTTCTGGTTCCTTGTTATTTTAAGAGGCTTTTTATTTCACGATCATATGCCATAAATCTCTCTTCAAGTTTCAGAACTTTCAGTTTCAAGTTTCAAGTTTCAGAACTTTCAGTTTCAAGTTTCAGAATTTCACGATCATATGCCATAAATCTCTCTTCAAGTTTCTGTCAAGGCATTTTGCCAGTGTTCAATGGAGTTTTTAGTTTCCTGGTATTCTCTTTGGATCTGTTTCATGCATTCTAAGGTATGTTTAAATTCTTCTTCAGAAGTTTCTCTTTCTTTTCTGATTTCCTCAGTTCTTCCGTCTGTGTTCTCTTGGGCGGGGCTTGTCATTTCTTTAATTAATCTCTTTATATCTTGTCTCACTTGAATCAGGAGTACAGCTTTAAATTCTTCTATGAGATCATGAAGGTACTTTTTAATTTCGGCTGATGCTGTGTCGAGCAATGGATGGTTACTGTGCTTGTTCTCTTCGGTGTTTACTTCTCCTGGGCTTATTTTCTCATGTTGGGCAGCTGGAGATTTTTTAAAATTTTTTATCTCTTGTCATGTTTCTGGTTTCTTTCAGACTGTCCTGGGGTTCTATGGCCTTCTCCGAATTGCTTAGGGCCTTTCAGAAGCGTGCTGACTTGAGTTTTTGCTGTCCTCCCCAATTTGCTGTTATCTGGGGTAGGCTGGGATACAGGGGCAGTACGTACAGGTTAGTCTCCAGCCTCTTCGCCAGTCAATCCGTAAATTAGGCTGTACTTTCTGGATGTCACTGAGTTGTGACTATTTTGTATCTGCTTGTTGGGCCCCAAGCAGAGGCTTGGTTTAGCCCCAGTAGCTCCTGCCGGTTCTCTTTGTACCAGAAGCAGCTGACTAATGTCACTATGGCACAGGGTCCTGCCCAAATCCTAGCTGTTCTTTTCCAGACCTCTCTGTGACAGGAGCACCAGAACAGCAGAACTGTCCAAATTCAAGATGTCTCCCACTAGTTCTCTGTATGACGCTGAAGCCAACACGTACTCAGGCTCTGCCCAATTTCAAGATGCCTTCTACCAGCCCTCCCTATAGGGGGACTCAGTGATGCCACCGAGCTGTAGGTTCTGCCCAACTATAAGATGGTTGCCACCAGACTCTGTGATATTGATGTCCCCGTGGTGGCAGGCACTGCCCAATTCCAAGACGTTCTCTGGCCAACCCCAGCAGCCGCGGGGTCCCCAGTACTCACCAGGGTCCACGCCGCCCACCTTTCCCGCGCTCCTGGCACAGCGCGGAACGGTCAGGAATCCTTGTTGCGTGCACTTCCGGGACGGCGTGGAACGGTCAGAAATCTGCGCTGCGTGCACTCCCAGCACGGCGCAGAACGGTCAGGAATCCACGCAGGGTGCACTCCCGGTACTTGGCACAGAACGGTCAGGAATCTGCACAGCGTGCACTCCCGGTACGGCGTGGAACGGTCAGGCCAGCTACTCTTTCTGACAAGGGAACATAATAAAGATTTTCAAGGATAGATGTTTCTAGTCCCGGTTCATCTGCTTTTTCAATATGCAACAATAGCACTGTCGTGTGCTAAATGCAACCACTTCTATCTCTGCCTCCCTCGAAACTCAAGAACATGTCTCTCCTTGTGAAGACTGCTTGTGAAAGGTACCCTACACCTAATTATGCTTGTATTGTCTTCTGGACATTTTGTCCTTAGTACCTAGCTTAGAGCATTAACAGAAATGCCTGTCTAGGTTCAACAGTAGATTCCATGGTTTCTTGGAACTTATTTCCCTGTATCTTTTCTTCTGTCGTCATGTCCGATAGCCAGTGGGGTCCAGCAATGGAAAACTAGTCATCAGAAAGGGAATCATACAGCCCAGTGCGGGGGATGCATGCCTGTAATCTTACCACCCCTAGATCAGCTGAAGCATGAGGATTTTGACTCGGAGCCCAGCCTGGGAAGTTTAGTGAGACTCTGTCTCAAAAACTAGAAAGGGCTGGAATTTGCAGCTTAGTGTAGAGACGATAGGTTATATCCCCTGTGCAAGGTGCAAGTTCCAAGAAGAGAAATACATCCTGTATCATGGGGTGGGAGTTGCACTTCCCTCCCAGATAGGCTCCTGGTGAGATAGGAGGGAGTAGTAAGCTGGTGTAGAATTAGATCTCCTTGGATTGACTGTGGAGGCAATTTACACATTTCAGAACCACAGTGTTTCCTGATGGATGTGTCCTAAAAGCTGCTGTAAACTCTGAGGCCATTTTCTAGGCACTGATGATACTGAGTTTTTTTTGTTTTGTTTTTTGATACAAAGAAAAGTCAGCAGGTTTTTAATTTCCTGCTTCTAAATGGGGCTGGCTGGTGGTAGGTAGTATTCTTATTTAGCCAGTTTAGGATCTCAGTTCTTTCTTGTTGTCCTTGCAGTTTCAAGAGAAGACTCCTGAAACAGAAGAGAGCATTTCTATTTAATGGCCAACTATTTAATGGTCACAGTCAGTTTGTAGTTTTGTTCTGTCAAATACTGTTCGTTTTTTTTTTTTTTCAGTGTTGCAGATCAACCCCGAAACCTTGTGCTTATTCGGTTTTACAGAAGACTCTTTGCTTTCCTATTAAATTGTACTTGCTAATTGTAAACTATCCATTTACTTGGTGCCTTCTTTTCCCAAACAGTACATCCACTTTTCCTCCAACACATTTTCACGTCTTCTTTATTTTCTGTTAATACTGACATACTCGTTTTATCTTTTCATCAGTTGATGGACATTTGAGTTTTCTCCACTTTTTGACTAAATTTTTGCTTATAGAAATTCTAGTGCATATAACCTTACACTTCTTATAATAAACTATATATAACAAGGTAGACCACAGTAAGCATTTTTAAATGCGAAGTTCTCTGACATTAAGTGCAGATTACTTTGTAGTCATCACCCCTCTTTACCTTCTCTAGAAGTTTCTTACTTTCCTAAACTAAAACTCTTACCCATAGTGGCATTTCTTGATTTTCTTTTCTTTTCCTTTTTTGTATATTCTCTAGGTATTGTCTTAGTGTTTACCATGACGATTACATGTAAAGTCTCTCTTTTAATGCCAAATAAAACTCAGTCACATAGAGAAACATTGCTCCTTTATAGTTCTACCATTACCTTACATTATTAAAGCTAAAAATTCTTTTTATATTGTATACTCATTAACATACATATATAAAACTTTCTAGGTATTCTTTTAAATTCTGTAGGCAACTTAAAGGGATATTTCAATCCAAAATTACGATACTTGTTTTTAATATCTGCCCATATGTTTACCTTTACTATAGATCTTTGTATCTGACAGCTTCAAGTTTCTCTTGCTTCCTTTTGTTATAACTTGAATGACTCCAATTAGTATTTCTTGAATATCAAGTCTAGTGATAATTAACTCTTTTAGCTTTTGTTTACTTGAAAATGACCTAATATGTTTGTTTTTGAAGGACAGTTTTCTTTTTCCTGTAGTTTCCAATAAGATATCCTTAGAACAGTGGCCTTAGCCTTTCCATATTTCTGCCAATATTCTGTTCAAGACCCCTTTTTTCTAAGAAGATTCAAGCTTTCTGTACAGCTCTTTTCTTGCTCTGAACTCTCACCTTGAAGATTCATTCGTAGCAATCTAGGCGTTTTAGAGCAGTCACTTAAAAACTGGTCCACTGTCAACCACCTATTACAGTTCCACATCCACCCTTTTTAGGTATTTGTTGTAGCAGCACCCTGCTGTCCTAAGGTGCCAGTTTTTGCTTTAGTCCATTTGTGCTGCTATAACACAATACCTGAGCCTGGGTAATTTATGAACAGAATAGCCTCATAATGCTGGAGGCTGGGAAGATGTTAGCATTGACACTTTTGGTCCCCTGTTAAGAGCTGCTCTGTACATCCAGATGGCTCCTTGGTGCTGCATTCTCTTTATGTGCTTACAAGGGTCATAGCTGAAGGTGGAAGAGCAAGAAAGCCAAACACTTCATGAAGCCCCCTTCATGAGGGCCTAATCCTATCCACATGGTAAGGAGTCCTCACAACCTCAACATATGTTAAAGGATTCAATTCCTGTCACACTGGAAACACATGAATTTTGGAGGAGACATTCAAATCATAGCATTGGCATGTAACTGAATTTTAGCTTTATCTGTTCTGATAATTTATCTGTTGATTGGACTGTAGTTCTTTTTGGGTTTTTGTTTTGAAACAAAGTGTCATTGTCTTAGTATGTTACTCAGGTTGGTCTCTTAACTTCTGGGCTTAAATGCCTGCATCAGGCAGTAAGTAGTTGGGACTGTAGGTTCATCCATCCACTGGTTGGAGTGTTTCACCTGTTTACATTTATTGTTGTCATGGACCGACCTAGGTGGATTTGTACCTGCCCTTCTACTCATTTTTCAGTTGTGTCACTTTTTTGTTGTCCTAGTCCTCCTTTATTGCCTTCTTTTAAAGTAGTTTCTAATGTGTATTTTAATTTTTTAGATGACTTTGTTCACTATATTATTTCTTTAGTGCTTAACATATAAATCTTATAAAAATACCTCGTTATATCAGCATAATTCAAGTAAGATACAGAAATGTTAACTCCCATGCAACTATTCCTATTTATCCCTTTGTAGTATAATTCATATTACACACATCTAAATGTTTCAAAGAGATATTCCTTATTTAATTTTACTGTATATGTCTGTTATTAAAAGCAATATGAAAAAGTATATAATTTTTATATTACTCTTCTCATTTCTGGTCCTCTTCATCTGATCCTGAGTGTTAACAATTAAATTCACTTCCTTACCCCAATAAACTTTGCTCCCATTTATCTCTGTTGTTGGCAAATAGATTATGTTTCAATATATCATAGGCCCAAATCTTACATACATCAATATGTATGCATATACTACTACTTTTTAAAGTACTAGAGGAAAAAAGATCATGCATGTGTACCATGTGGGTTTTTGTTGTTGTTTGTTTCTTTGTTTGGTGCTGGGGAATTGAACCTAAAATCTATGCAGATTAAAGCATGTGCTCTACATCCCCAACCCCTGTAACTGCTTTTAATAGTGTATTTATACAGCTTGTTCATTTAGATTTTTGGATGTATACATTGATTTTTTTCAGTAAATTTGGAGATTCTTGCCCACTTTTGAAACTTTTTATTGCTTCTTCTTCCTCTTTTGGTACTACTATTACACATACTTTGGTGTGCTTAATGGTGTTTCATGTTTTTCTGAGATTCTATTTTTTTCCACTGTGTTTTCTTTGTTGTTTTTACAGAATCTCTATAATCCATCTTCCAGTTTGCTAATTCTTCTGCCAATTTGTATCTACCTTTAAGTTCCTTCAGGGAAATTTTCATTTCAGCTATACATTTTAATTCCAAAATTTCAAGATAGTTATTTTAAATATTTAAAAAATATATATATATATTTTGGTGCTGGGGATCGAACTCACAACCTCATGTTTGCCAAGCAGGCACTTATACCACTGAGCTAGGGTCTGGGGATTTAGCTCAGCGGCATAAGCGCCTGCCTTGCAAGCAGGCAGTCGCGAGTTTGATCCCTGGTACCGATAAAAATGAAAAAGACAAAAAAAAAAAAAAAAAAAAAACCACTGAGCTAAACCCCCGGCCAATTTGTTTGTTTTTTGAAGTATCAGGGATCAAACCCTGAGCTGCATTCTGCAGCCTTTGAGCACTTTACTGTCTTTGCTTGTCAAATCTGGTCACTTTCGCAAGTAGTTTCTGTGGCCTGCTTATTTTACAGTACTTTTCTCTTTCTTTGTCTTTCAGGTTTTTTTTTTTTTGGTAGAAATAGAAATTGGATGATTTGATAATTACTGCAGCTCTGGTACTTTTGTCCCCAGCCCTTTACCCCAAGAATTGTTACTTTTGTTTGTTCTTGTTTAGTGACTGGCTGTATTATTTTAGTGACGTCTATACCCACCGTAGTGCAGAATCCCTGATGTTATCCTTCAGGGAGTAATCATGGCTGTCCAGACACCCTCAGATGACATTTTTGTTAAACAAGGCTATCTTTCTTTCCCTGAACGCACTCAGCTGTTAAACTCTACCACTTGTGACTGATGGCATTATTGTTTTTAGTAGTGTTCAGGAGCATGTATTGTTTTACACTCTAATGCAGTCAAATTGGGGCATGGTTGAAGTGACACTTCCTGAGGTCACTGTTTGAGATTTGTTCTCATAGTAGGAAATGTCAGGGCTGGAGATTTAGCTCAGTGGCGTAAGTGCCTGCCTGGCAAGTGCAATGTTGTGAGTTCAATCCCTGGTACAAAAAAATAATGTCTTCCCAGGTATTCTGGTTTTGGGCAAACTAGCCAGCCTATAATGCAGCATATATGTACAACTCCAGTTAATCTATCAGTCTCAATTTTCTTTCATCCAAATTTTCACTATTTTTGATGGTATTTTTAAACTTCTCCACATTCTGTTGCAAATGAAGTCATTTAAGCTCTTCATTTTGTCCCCTGGACAAAATTTTTCAGCTACAGCTTTGGTGTACAGTAGGGATAATGGCATTCACTTTTCTGAGTGGTTCTCCCACCTTGAGAACTCAATGCTTGGTAGATGGGGGATTCAGGCCCTCTAGGGGTTGCCTGTTTTGGTATGCAACATGAAATTCCTATTCTATGGGCTAAGGCAAAGCAACTGGAACTGTAGCATTCTCAGCAATTGTACACCCAGGTAGGGCCTACATTTTGTGTATGGAGGCTGTGCAGAAGGGAACCCCCATCCCTGGCTGTACAACCCAGGTTACCAGGGAAGGTTGGGAAATCATGATGTTCTATCCCTTGAAGGAAGATAAGCAGGTGACTAGATGCAAGGGCTCAGGAATACTGAGGAAACCTGTGTCCTTGTCTGCATCAGTCTGTAGTAGAGTCTTTGTCCAGTAAGAATAGATGGACAAAGGACAGCACAAGCTTGGGTTGTATAGTGTAGACTTACAGGGTCATTTCTGGAGACCTTAATTCCCTTTTTTTTTGTAACTTTTTTTATCAGTTTCACTGGGGAGAAACACTATTATGCCAGAAGTGGAATTTCCTGACCAATTCTTAACAGTTATAATCATGGACCATGTAAGTATTTTTCTGAATATTTTCTTTTTCTGTATGTTTCTACGTAATTCTAATAAATCCATACTCTTTTTTCACTTTCTAGTGTGAGCTTTTTTTTTTTTTTTTGTCTTTTTCCTTTTTATCGGTACCGGGGATTGAACTCACGACTGCCTACTTGCAAGGCAGGTGCTTATGCCGCTGAGCTAAATCCCCAGCCTCTCTAAGTTAGATATTTTTTGAACAGGGCAAAGAAGGTATAGAAACAGCTTTATTAATAATTCATGAGGCAACACAGCCTGTGCTGCACTACTTCTTTTAATTTATAAATAGATTATTAATTTCCATACATTTGGCTAGTTACAGAATGCTACAGTACATAGGAAGATTTCTTCAAATTAAATAGATTCCTCTCCCTATCCCCCAGGTTTAGGGTTTAAACTTAAGCCCTTTCACACTGAGCTACATTCCTAGCCCTTTCTAAATTTTGAAACAAGGTACTGCAAAATTACGAGGTTACCCAAAATGGGCTTGAAATTGTAATCCTCCTGTGTCAGTCTGTGAGTTTACTGGCATACGTTACCATGTTTTAGGATTGGTTAAAGACAGAATCTAATTTGGAAGGGCTAATTTCCTTATCTCTTATGGCATAGGCTTCTATCCCCGAGACTACTTGTTTCTTATTTGTTCCTTCCATAATGTAATTCTGTATTTATCTCTTTTTCAAAAATGTTTCCTTCAATTTTACCTGTAATACCTGTAATCTTACCTGGATTTATTATTTCAGGAATTGGTGACGTTTGGGGATATAGTCATCAGCTTCTCTCAGGAGGAGTGGGAATACCTGGATTCTGCTCAGAGGGTTTTATACTGGGATGTTATGATGGGGAACTACAGCAACTTGGTGTCACTGGGTAAACTTGTCAGTGTACAATCTGCTCTGAAACAGATTATTTTGCTAGTCTTGTTATATGTTGAACAAGAAAGACCAAAAACTGACTGCGCTCATAGAATTTATATAGTGGCAGCTGACCTACGTAACAAATACTCAAATAAATAGAGAATATCTATCTATGTATCTATCAACTGATGAATCAGTAGCTAGATATGTGAAAGAACAACCCAATCCTGTGTATTCTTGTATATAGTGGGAAGAAATTTGTCCTTCAAGTTTTTGTTCTGTTTGTTGTTTGGTTTGTTTGTCTTGGCACTACTGGGGATTGTACAGTTCCTACAGACTTCCCACTGAGCTATGTCCCCAGACCTTTTTTGTACTTTTATTTGAGATAGGCTTTTGGTTAAGTCCCTGAGTTGTAAAGATTAGGCTCAAATTTACAGTCCTCCAGCCTCAGCCTCCCAGAGTGCTGAAAAGTCCTTGTGGATTTTAAGGAGTTAGGAAATTAATGGTATTACAAAAGAAAAAATTATGAGTACACAGTTGAACAAATGTATATGAAGGTAAGTAGTTATTGGAGGAGGTATAAAAATGAACTGACTTTTAAGTTACTTGAGAGTTAACTTCTAGACAGAACAATGAAAAGGAGCTGGCATACACTGAGCTTACTTGTGAGAAATGAAACATCCTGTAGTAACTCTAAATGCAATTAAATATGGTGGAGTAAGTCTAGAAGTGAATGGTTAAACTGTGCAGCAAAAACACGCAGGTTCTGTGAGAAGTGAATGGTTCGATAAGAATATTAGATTAGTGAAACATGTTGTATGTTTGGCTGTTGTCTTTTATCCTTCCCCAAGAAAAACTGCCTCGCCCTGAGGCAGTTAATTTCTCACACTGCTTTTCTTGTGTTTTTTTCATATACACTAATATTCTAAATAAAAGGTGGAGTATTCTTGGCTTGGGGTTTCTCCTGGGATTCTCCCTAATATGGATGCTCTTGTTTGAGATAGCCCCTCTGGGCCCTCTCAGTGACTGAACTAAGTCTAGTCTCTGAGTAATCCTTTTTTTTTTTTTTGGTCTTTTTTTTTTTTATCAGTACCAGGGATCAAACTCACGACCACACACTTGCAAGGCAGGCGCTTATGCCACTGAGCTAAATCTCCAGCCCCAGTAATCCTTTATTTTCTACACTGCTATGGTTGTACACTGTGACAATTAGAACAAGAGGGGAAATGAATAAAAATGAGCTCATGTGAACAGCATCTTTTATCTACAGGTAAACCATTTATTTTTTTGGTACTCGCAGTCAAATTCAGGGTCTTGTGCTTGCCAGGTAGGTGCTGTGTCACTGAACTATATCCCCAGCCTAAGAGTTTTTAATTTTATTGTAGGAAAAAAAATTGGGCTGGGGATACAACTCAGTACTAGAGTCACAATCTAGCATGCATGTTACCCAGGGTTCATTTCTAGCACCAAAAAAAAAAAATAGATAGATAGATAGATAGATAGATAGATATCATAGAATTATTACTATGTGTGACTTCTCAGATTGTGGTCTGCATTAGCCATACCTCTACCAGACATGTCCAGTTCTATATCTATAGATTTTTAATTTAGCTTATCTTAATTTGTTCCTAAACCTCAGTACTTATCAATAAGCTTATAATGTAATGGTCAATTACTTAAGTTTCAAATATGTTGATTTATTAATCTTTTTCTTATTGTAAATCTCATAATCCTATGTTACACTATTGTTTTCTGAGCTATCTTTCTCCAAATTTCATAATCATTCCCTTAAGATAAATTACTTTGCTTGTTCTGATTTTTATGTTTTACTTTTGTGACACATGAAAAATAAAATTACTTTTTCCTTCCTTTCAGATTTGGAGACCAGGGATCAAACAAGTTCATCTATAGGCAAGGGCATTATTGAAAGTAATGATTCTCATTTGGAAGTAATGGAAAGCACATTTGCTGGTCTTGAGAGCCCCAATTTTAGAAATGACCGGCAAAGCAAAAGCAAGATTGAAATATGAGGACTTAAAGGGGGATATTTCAATAAAATAAAAATAACCTCTGACAAAGAACTCAATTATAAAAATAAAGGATGTGTTATGTTACCTAAGAAAATGGATGGCAGTAATAAGCCCTATGAATATAAAGAATATGGGAACATCTTTGATTGTGATTTAGACTGTGACCAATATCAGAGAATACTTATTGGTGAGAAAAACCTATGAATGTAATGAATGTTGGAAATCCCTTGGGCTAGATAATTTACATACACTACAACTGAACACTAACACTAGGTTGAAATTTTGTAAATATAAGGAATGTGGTAATACATTCAGTGTTTATGAAGATATTAATGTATACCAGAAAATTCATAGTCATGGGAAGTTCTATAAACTTAAAAAACATGGGAAGATCTTGAGAAGAGCTGGAGAAATTGCTTGTTTTCAAATAATTCATGATGGTGAGAAGCCCTATGAATGTATGTTCTGTGGGAAATCCTTCAGAGCATATGCAAAATTTCTAAGACATTGCAAAACTCATACTGAGGAAAAACGTTACAGGTATATAAAATGTGGCAAGGACTTCAGATTTCATTCACAGCTTATTGATCAGAGAATTCATACTGGTGAGAAACCATACAAATGTATACACTGTGGATCGGTGTGCAGAGGAGGAGCTGGGCGGATCTGGAGTGCCGGCAGAAGCCCCTTCCTTTGTCTGGAGGACTGAATATCTCTGCAAGCAGGGAGGGATCCCAGGTTCCTGAGGCACCTCGGCCTGTGGCTTCCGGGTGCAGTGAAGTGGAGCAGCGGGTTAGAGACCACTACATCCGCCTCCCCATCCCGGCTGCACTTGGAGGTCTGCTGAGCTCCTGACGGGTGGGCGGGCCTATACTATCCCCCGAGCCCAGCCACGCCTAGCCATTGGTGTGCAGAGGAGGAGCTGGGCGGATCTGGAGTGCCTGCAGAAGCCCCTTCCTTTGTCTGGAGGACTGTGGATATCTCTGCAAGCAGGGAGGGGTCACAGGCTCCTGAGGCACTGCGGCCTGTTGTGAGTACCCTAACCCGGCTGCGATTGAAGAGCTGTGGAGCTTCCAAAGGGCAGGTGGGCGCACAGTGTCCCTGAGGCCCAGCTTGTCTGGAACTGCGGAGTTCTGAACAAGCAGAGGAGGGCCATTGGTTCTGCAGGCCCAATGGCTTGGGGTAGCGTGGTGCCAGAGTCTTGTAGCTGCAAACATAGAAGGGGATTTTCAACAGATCCTGAGGAAGCTTTCAAATAACACTTGAAACACAGAAATATAGGAAAATGACAAAACGAAAGACCAAATTACAACCTCAAACCTCCAGCCCATCTCAGGAAACCCAAGGAGGAAGGTATTTAGAAGAAAATATATCCCATCCACCTCATATATCAGACACAATAGCTACTGAAGTTGACAAGCAACTCCAGGAAGCTTTAAAGAAATTCAAACTCGAAATAATTTCCCAGATAAAAGAAGAAATGATAAAAGAAATGAAAGAGATTCTAAATATATCTAAAGAAAACACAGATAAAAAATTGGAGGAACTAAACAAAAAGATAGAATCCCTAGACGAGCAATATAAGAAACAAATAGAATACATAATGCAGATGCACAGAGATATACAGGAAATAAAAAACTCCACTGAAAGTTGTAAAAACCGCCTTAATGAAAGTGAAGATAGAATTTCAGACCTTGAAGACAGGATTGCAGCTAGTGAACAGGAAAGGAAAGATCTTTTAAAAATAACAAGGAATCAGGAAACAATTCAACAACTGCAAGACGATGCAAAGAAGAATAACATAAGAATGATAGGGATTAATGAAAAAGAAGGAGACACCATAAAGGATATCAAGAGGATATTTAGAGAAGTAATAGCTGAAAATTTCCCAAGCATGAGATCAGAAACTGACATCAGGATCAGTGAAGCATATAGAACTCCAAATAGTCATAACCAAAATAAAACTACACCCAGGCATATAATAATCACCATCCCAGAAATCCAACACAAGAATAGATTATTAAAAGCTGTCAGAGAGAAAAGACAGATCACTTATAAAGGAAAACCTATCAGAATCACAGCAGACTTCTCATCACAAACAATAAAGTCAAGAAGAGCATGGAGTGAAGTATTCCAGATCCTAAAGCAAAATGATTTCCAACCTAGATTGATATATCCTGCAAAACTATCATTCAAAATAGATGGTGCAATATGATACTTCCATGACAAAGAACAGCTGAAGAACTTCATGAACACCAAACCAACCCTGCAAAAAATATTGAAAGACAGTTTAGATACACAAAGGAAAAAACCACTAAGCAAAGCAAATAATTAAACAGAACAGAAAGATAAAGTTGCAACAGCAGAGAGATAAGATTCCTACAATTAACCAGCATTTAACAGTAATAACCATTAATGTAAATGGTCTCATGCACCAATCAAAAGAAACAGACTAGCAGAATGGATCAAGAAACAAAACCCATCTAACCCAGAAGGATACTCACAGACTGAAAGTCAAAGGATGGAAAACAATTCTTCATGCAGCAGGAATCCAAAAAAATGCAGGAGTAGCCATTCTGTTTGCAGACAACGTGAACTTTAAACCAACAATGACCATAAAGGATAAAGAAGGTCACTACATACTCGTAAGGGGAAAACTCCAAGAGGAAGAGATAACTTTCTTAAATATATACGCACCAAACTCCAGAGCACCCAGTTATATAAAACAATTATTAACAGAAATGAAAATTCAAATTATCAGTAACACAATTGTAACAGGAGACCTTAATACGCCATTGACACCAAGGGACAGATCAACCAGAAAGAAAATGAGCAAAGAAATAACAGAACTGAATCATACCTGTGAACAAATGGGTTTGATAGACATATACAGAATGTTCCACCCAACAACATCAGAATACACATTCTTCTCAGCAGTACATGGATCATTTTCTAAAATAGACCATATATTAGCTCACAGAACATATTTAAACAAGTGCAAAAGAGCTGAAATCATCCCTTGCATGTTATCGGATCATAGCACTCTGAAATTAGAAATTAATGATAAAAGATACTGCAAAAATCCCACAAACACATGGAAACTGAATAACACACTCTTAAATAATCAGTGGGTCACAGAAGAAATTAAAGAAGAAATTAAACAATACCTAAAAGAAAATGAAAATGCAGATACAACTTACCGGAATGTGTGGGATGCAATGAAAGCCGTCCTGAGAGGAAAATTTATTGCACTGGGTTCCCACATCAGGAAAACAGAACGAATACAAATAAATAACTTGATGCTACACCTCAAACAGCTAGAAAAAGAAGAGCAAGTGAAGCCCAAAGCCAAAAGAAGAGAGGAAATTATAAAAATCAGAGCAGAAATCAATGCAATAGAGACTAAGAAAACAATCCAAAGAATCAACAAATCAAAGAGTTGGTTCTTTGAAAGAATAAATAAAATCGATAAGCCCCTAGCCAACCTTATTTTAAAAAGGGAAGAAAAAGCTCAAATTCATGCAATAAGAAATGAAAAAGGAGAAATCACTACAGACCCAAGAGAAATACAGAAGATCATCAACACCTATTTCGAAAACCTCTACTCTCAAAAGTTTGATAACACAGAAGAAATAGACAGATTCTTAGAAGCATATGAAGTGCCAAAGCTAGATCAAGAGGATGTAAAACTGTTGAATAACCCAATCTCTGTTACTGAAATTGAAAATGTAATTAAGTCCTTACCCACCAAGAAGAGCCCAGGCCCAAATGGATTCACTGCAGAATTCTACAAGAAATACAAAGAAGACCTAATGCCGACACTCCTTAAACTATTCAATGAAATTGAAAGGGAAGCAATCCTTCCTAAGTCATTCCTGGAAGCAAATATTACTCTAGTACCAAAACCTGAGAAAGACCCAACTAAAAAAGAGAACTATAGACCAATCTCCCTAATGAACACAGATGCAAAAATCCTCAATAAAATATTGGCAAATAGGATCCAGCAAATCATCAAGAAGATTATACACCATGACCAAGTGGGATTCATCCCAGGAATGCAAGGATGGTTCAACATACGCAAATCAATAAATGTAATCCACCATATCAATAAAGCCAAAAATAAGAATCACATGATCATTTCTATAGATGCAGAAAAAGCCTTCGATAAGGTCCAACATTTATTCATGATAAAAACTTTACAGAAAATTGGAATAGATGGTCTTTACCTCAATATAATAAAGGCCATTTATGACAAACCAACAGCCAGCATCATACTAAATGGCCAAAAATTGAAAGCCTTTACTTTAAAATCAGGCACAAGACAAGGATGTCCTTTATCACCACTCCTATTTAATATAGTACTGGAAGTACTAGCCAGAGCAATTAGGCAAGAAAGAGAAATAAAAGGGGTAAAGATAGGAAAAGAAGAAGTTAAGTTATCATTGTTTGCAGATGACATGATACTCTACATAGAAGACCCCCTAAACTCCATTGAAAGACACTTAGATACAATAAATAAATTCAGTAATGTGGCTGGATACAAAATCAATACTCAGAAATCAATAGCATTCCTATACACAACAAAATCACAGAGAGGGAAATAATAGAACCTGGACTATTCACATTAGCAAGCAAAAAAATGAAATATTTAGGAATTACTCTTACGAAAGAAGTGAAAGACTTATACAGTGAAAACTATAATACACTGAAAAAGGAAATTGAAGATGATCTCAGAAAATGGCAAGACATCCCTTGCTCATGGATAGGAAGAACAAACATTGTGAAAATGGCCATTCTCCCAAAACTCTTATACAGATTCAATGCAATCCCAATAGAAATACCATCAACATACCTTATAGATCTAGAGAAATCACTCCTAAATTTCATCTGGAACCAGAAGAGACCTAGAATCGCAAAGGCAATTCTAAGCAGCAAAGACAAAGCAGGAGGCATCACAATCCCTGACTTGAAATTATACTACAAAGCAACAGTAGTAAAATCAACATGGTATTGGAATCAAAACAGAGCTGAAGATCAATGGAATAGATTAGAAGATACAACCACAACTACAAACACACTCAACCACCTTATCTT